GAAGCTGAATAAGCGGTGCCTCGATGCGCGCAGCTGCTCCACAAGGGCGCCTTCTCTCGCAATCAGGCGGAACGCCAGGCAATTGAACTCCTCGGCGAAGCACCTGTCGGGAAACGAAGCCCAGCGGTGTTCCCCAAGCCACATCGCATTGAGCTCCTTGAAGAAGTCTTTCTCCAAGACCTGCTCGCACGCACAAAGGACCCTGTAGTCCCTGGCGCCCAGCCCAGGCAAACCTCCCATCTCCAGCGACCTTGCCACGGCTGCTCTCTGACTCAACTCCCACCGCAAGCCCGCCATGTCCAGCTGCTCGCGGAGCATGCGCACAATGGGGTTGAGGGCGCACCTCAACAACATGAGGTCTGGCAGAGGATCCGCTGCAAGCCACTTCAGCGTCATCTGCCTGTTCTTGGCGTTCTTAGCTGCGAGATTGTCCTCAGATGACGCCTGGTTGCCGTCGACGTGGGCAGCTGCCTGCGCGCGAACTGGGTCCGCGTCGGAAGGGCCAACTCCTCCGCCCTCCTCAGGCAGGCCCCCCCCTCCGCCAGCGTCGCCGCCCTCCAGAGCAAGAACGCCGACGGCGCCGTCAACTCCCACATCTCCGCGGGGCTCGCCCTCGAAGTCCCTGCCAAGAGTTCGACAAAACAAAGGATCCGTCGCAGAAGCAAGCCCGTGCACTGCCTCGAGCCGCCCCCAAAAGTCAACGGCGATCTCTGACCCTGTCCATCGACGCCTCGGCCACACCGTCGGCTTCGCACTCAGGAGGGCGAAGCTGAGGCCATTCTCGATGATACTTGCAACTGCGACCATGTCGATGTCGGCAGCCGCCACGCCTGTCAAGCACACCTCCACGTGCTTCGTGTTCCGCCAGTCGCCGCGCGGCAAACAAGCTGCCACGACCCTCTTCACCTCCTGGTCAAGGCCCGTGCTGAAGAACATCTTCATGATCGATCTCTTGTAGTGAACGGCATCCTCCGACAAACCTTCTGGCACAACTTTGATCCTAGACTTGATCACGTACCTGAGACACCGTCGGAAATGGTTCAAGTGGCTACTCAGCTGCAACGACAAAGACGCGTTGATCACAGAGGAGATTGTGCGCGGCATGAGACTCTCGAATGTCTTGCTGTGGATGCCTGCCGTCACGTGCACCTCACAAAATAAATGCAACGATTCCCATCCAGCTCGGTCAGACGCGATACTCTTCTCAGTCACGACATTCGTGGCCGCGGCGTCAGAACAACAGAAACGCATCTTATGCTTAAACTCCTCGCTGTGCTTAGACACCGCACAACTCCGCAAGACCGCCGTCTTGCTGACTGGTGCCGCAGTCGACTCCATGGGCTGGAGAGGGCACGGCGTGTTCATGTACAAGCGAACTGGCACGCCCCCGATGTTCACGAGCAGCCACGCCGACTGGTTAATCTGCATCAGCTTCGTGACCATGGCAGCGCTCTTCTCGTGACTGGCGAGCACTGTCGCGATGCGCAGTGCTTGACCGAACTGCGCACTGACAACCGCTGGGAGGTGCACGTCGTCTGAACGCCCACCTGCAGTATCACCTCTCAGCGTCGTCTTCATCGGGGTCTCGTCGTAACGGCTGCAGTCCACATAAAGCAAGCACCCCGCTGCACCGAGGGACTCTACCAGAGATCGCTCAAGCCGCTCTCGCAACATAATCTGGCTCAGGAAGAACGCCTCTGCGAATCGATGGAGCGCACTCTTCAGCGACGATCGGGCGCGGCCAGTGTTCTTCTCGAGCTGGGACCAATTCAGCACGAGCCCGCTGGAAGTCTCACCCCACTGCTTCACCACATCCAAAATTATCTGGTGGTGCGGCGCCCCTGGGGCCGCCCCGATGATAGCACATTCACCGAGGTATGACGACAAGTCGTTGGGCGGCGACAGCGCGTGCCGAGACAATGGCCGGCGCTTGTCCCAACTCGTCACGGTGATGGCTTTCGTAACAGGCACCCGCTGAACGATATTGCGCTCGAGAACAATAACAGGCTGGTCCGAGGGAACATTCGCATTGTCGTCCAACTCCATCGCTACCCGCGTTGCCCACGATGGTGGGCGGCCTCGCCGAACAGATGGCCTGGCATCCCGCTGCGGTGCTGCAAGGGCCTCCTCCAGCGAAGCCAGCAGCGCACCCTCCGCGCGTGCGGGGCCCTCATCTCTCGGCTCAGCAGCGAGGCTCGATTGGGCTGCCACCGCAGCCCACGGATCGCCAGGCACAACGACTTCATCGGATGTCCCTGGATCAGTCGGCTTTGCCGCCACGGCGGCCCATGACATAACTAGCGCTAACAAGCGCATCCTCTCGAAAAAACATGGAAGCCTGTGCTTCCCGCAGTCGAACGATTCGAGCCAAAATGGTTGCAGGGAGGCGGGCAGAGGCGGAGGACATGGATGGAGGGCGGTTTCGGGCGAGGGGGGGCGCCCCTAGGATAATGGTTGCGCAACGTGGCCTTGGGTTGCTTGCTTTGGGGGGCGGGGGTCATCAGTGCGCCCGCCGCTGCCAGACGTTGTCGCAGGAAATCCCACCAGCCTTGTATGGCGTAGGATGTCTAAATGCGTTTCTCTTCCAGCTCCATTCTTGCCCTTCGGGCAGTGGTTTACCCCTCCCCCTGCCCTTCCCCTGGGCCTGGACGGAGGGGAAGGGCGGCAAGCGGTAAGAGGGTTCAAGATCGACCCCCTGGGCATTTAAAATCTGGCACCTCTCACGCGGATCGCTGCCCCCAGGGGGATGGGATGTAGGACCCCTCTTCTTTATTATATGCCCCCCGAGATGGTTCCAAGAGACGTCTTGGACCCTCCTCTTAGGCCCCGCGAGCAGGCGGGCGGGCGCAACCTGCTCGCGCGCGCCTCTCCGAGGCCGTCCCCAGAGACCGCCAAGATGCCCATCAGACACCCCAAGGGTCCTCAGATGACCCCACAAGAAACATCCCAAGACACTTCGAGAAGAATACGGCCCTGTCAGCCCTCTCATACTTTTCTCGTTCCTCCTTCGTCTCCTCCCCCAGTGCCAGCATGCCCCTCCTCCCTCCTCCCTCCTCTTTCCGACCCCGTCCTTCACCGCAGCATTATCCTATCCACTCCTCCTCCTTCTCCTGCTTTTCTCCCCCTCTCCTCCCCCTCCTCCTCCTCATCATCATCTTCCTCCTCGCCCTCCTGTTCCTCATCCGTCCCCTACTCTTCCTCATGCTCCTCCACTTGCTCCCCCTCTCCTCTTATCCCGCACCTCCTCATATTCCTCCTCGTCGCGTCTTTCGCCCTCTTGTTCTTGGCATGCTCCCACGCTTCCCTGATTAATTACTTCAAATCCACATAAACATCGTTTCTGGATGGGCTGGTGGGGATGCGACAAGCGACAACAATACGGAACGTGGCGTACCTGGGGGGATGGGCATTCCTGGGGAGAGGGGCCGTCTTCGGCGTGGCGCAAAGTTTCACCATGGCGAACGAGTCGGGTTTCACGGCAAGGCGGGGTTTCGAGACGGAACAAGCTGGGGCTGCAAACTACTTTTTGTCGACGAACCACTGCCCGACAACATAAGGAAAGTTGTCGGGCGAAACGCGGTTTCGCTCGGCCCTCGGATTCGATCGGGACGCGTGGCGTTGCACCTCAATATTTTGGGGTTCCCCCCCCTCTTCTTCCACGCTTATCCCCTCCTCCGCGTTCACTGACCACCCCTCCTCAACTCCTCAACCCGAGGCCATCTCTCCCTCCCGACTCCCAGCTCTGTCCGCCCCTCCTCCCACTTTGAAGATGCTGCAGTTCGATTTGCGCACCCCGCCGCCCACGCCCCTTAAACCCTCATGTTTTCGTCGCGTCGAAACTTCTCTCGCGCAATTGAACTGCTAGTTTCGAGCGCCCCCCGCAAACCCCGCAGAAAGGGGCATAAGGCATACATCAATGAACGTTGGCTTCTATTGCTGCGTACCGCGGTTGGGAAATGGTGGCTCCGTTTACTTGCGGCGCTTTGATAAAGAGCCAATGCCAGATTTCAGAAGGCACGGGCACGCCAATGCTAATGAGGAACGCGAGCGTGGCAAGCGAAAGGGCCGACGCGGCAACGGCGGTTAGAGCAACAGCGCAGCGAGGCCGAATCTCGAGACGATTGCGACCGACAGACTTACTTTGCGGCATCGTTCCGTCGCGCCAGGGCCCCAACACTTACTGTCAGCGGATGGTGCGAGCGCCCCCAGAGTTATTTTCAACGATCCACGCAAACCTATTTCCAACCTACTTTCCACCTATTCCTGACTTTCCTTCGTGTGAGCCCCTTAGCAGGGGCTCCGCCATCATAATCCAAGACGGCCCACGAGGGCTCCAGGAGGGACCCAAAACAGACAAGAGGACCCCAAGACGGCCCAAGACGCCTCCAAGACGGCCCAAGATGCCCCCAAGACGGCTCCAAGAGGGCCCAGACAAGGCACCAGAACGGACAGTTCGAGCCCTTGGCCCCGAGAGGCTCCCAGGAGGAACCAAGAGGCCCCCAAGAGACCCCCCAAGAGGCCCCAAGAGGCCCCCAAGAGACCCCCCAAGAGGCCCCAAGAGGCCCCCAAGGGGCCCCCAGGAGGCCCCGAGAGGCGCCCAAGAGGCTCCCAAGAAGCCCCCGAGAGGCCCCCGAGAGCGCTTCGAAGAGACCCCAAGAAGCATCCATGAGGGCTCTGACCCACGTCAGCGTCGTTGTCGCCGCCGCCGCCGTTGTCGTCGTTCCCCCTCAGGGTCGGCGACGCCGGCCGCAAGGCCTTCACAGTATCCCCCCCCACCGCCCGCCGAGGTCCACGACGACCGATCCCCCAGGCGGCGGCGATGGATCCATCCCCGCCTCGGATATGAATCTCTTGCCGTCGCTCGGACGTCCATTTCCCGTGCATTTGTCGGTGTCGTGCGTGTTTTTGTTGGCTCGATGGTCCAGGATGGTCCTGGATGGTTCCCGCCGAGAAAAAAAGGCACACGTCCGAGCGATGCCAGGGTCTAGTCTGTGGGGCGCCTGGTCGTAGGTGTCCGCGCGCGCCTCGTACGCGGCCGCGAGCGAGGCGAACTCCTCGTAGCCCGTGATGCCCTGCACGCGCGGCCCCGCCTCGGCGCTGCGCAGCCGGGCGGCGGCGTCGCGGTACATGGGCACGAGCTGCTCCATCCGATGCGCGAGGTCCTGCCATGGGGGGTGGCTGTGGCCACGAGCGGCGACGGCGACTGTGTATATATATATATATATACACATACATATGTATATCTATATATATATATATATATATATATCAGAGTGAGGGGGCTGGACCGAACGGTCATTCACTGTGCCTGGGTGCGTGGCTGAAGTGGAATTCCGCGATGCGGATTGTTGTTGTTGCTGTTGTTGGTGTTGGTGTTGTTGTTGTTGCTGTTGCTGTTGCTGTTGCTCTTGTTGTTGTCGTTATTTTTGTTGTTGTAGTTGTTGTTGTTGCTGTTGTTGTTGATGATGTTGTTGTTGATGTTGTTGTTTGTTGTTTACCGTTTGTTGTTTGTAGGTTGTTGTTTGTTATTTGGTGTTTGTTGTGTGTTGTTTGTTGTGTGTTGTTTGTTGTTGCCGTCGTGCCACACGCGACCCACCCCGCGACCCACCCGCGACCCACCCCGCGACCCGCCCGCGACCCACCCCGAGACCCACCCGCGACCCACCCCGAGACCCACCCGCGACCCACCCGCGACCCACCCGCGACCCACCCGCGACACACTGCGACCCACCCGCGACCCACCCGCGACCCATCCCGCGACCCACCCAAAATTGTCGGCGCCTGCGACGGGTTTCTTTTGCATTCGTTCCAGGTGGAGAACCTGCGACCCACCCGCGACCCACCTGCGACCCAGCGCGACCCACCCGCGACCCACCCGCGACCCACCCCACGACCCACCCAAAATTTTCGGCGGCGGGTTTCTTTTGCATTCGTTCCAGGTGGAGAACCTGCGACCCACCCGCGACCCAAACCGCGTTCAGTGTAGAAATCAAAATGTTCGGCGCCTGCGGCGAGCTGTTTTTGAATTCCTTCCAGGTGGAGGTGGAGGTGGAGAGCCCGCGACGCACCCGCAACCCAAACTACGTTCGCTGAACAAGACAAAACTTCCGCGCCTGCGGCGGGCTTCTTTTGCATTCGTTCCAGGTGGAGAACCTGCGACCCAAACCGTGTTCAGTGTACATATCAAACTGTTCGGCGCCTGCGGCGGGCTGTGTTTTTGAATTCCTTCCAGGTGGAAGTGGAGACCCGGCGACCCACCCGCGACCCAAACTACGTTTACTGAACAAGCCAAAACATCGGCGCCTGCGGCGGTCCGCCCGCTCGACGCCCGCGTCGTCCGCGCCCGCTCACACTTATCCGCAATTGCGGGAAGCTACGTGTATATCGGAGGTGAGGGGCTGAGATCGAAGTGGAACGGAGAGCCCCCCTACCGGGAAATCGATTTCGGTTTCGTGTTCGTGCGTGCCGTGCGTGCGGGCGAGGCGAAGCTGCGTGGGCGGGCGAGAAGAAAGTCTCCTGTGGCTGAGGCGCGGCCAGACCAAATGTCTCCCTTCCAGGCGGCTGGGGGCCCGCGGTGTCCCGCCGGTGTCCCGCTGGTGTCCCGTGTGGCTGAGGCGCGGCCAGACCAAATGTCTCCCTTCCGGGCGGCTGGGGGCCCGCGGTGTCCCGCCGGTGTCCCGGTGGTGTCCCGCTGGTGTCCCGAAATGCAAATCGGCATGCAAATCGAAATGCAACTCGACATGCAAATCTACATGCAAATCGACATGCAAATCGACAATGTAAATCGAACATGCAAATCGGCATGCACATCTAAATGCAAATCGAAATCCAAATCGACATGCAAATCGAAATGTAAATCGACATTCCAAATCGAAATGCAAATAGAACTGCAAATCGAACATGCAAATCTACATGCAAATCGAAATACAAATCGAAATGCAATCGAAATGCAAATCGGCATGCAAATCGGAATGCACATCGACATGCAAATCGAAAATGGAATCGACATGCATATCGAAATTCAGACCGACATGCAAATCGACAATTCAAATCGACAATGCAAATCGAACATGCAAATCGACATGCACATCTAATGCAAAACGACATGCAAATCAAAATGCAAATCGCACATGCAAATCGAAAGTGCAAATCGAAATGCAAATCGACATGCAAATCGACATGCAAATCGAAAGCAAATCGAAAATGCACATCGAAAATGCGAATCTACATGCAAATCTACATGCAAAGCTGCATGCAAATCGACTGAGATCGATAGTTGGAGGGATAGTGAGATCGAGTGTGAGATCGATGGTGATATCGACAGTGGGATCCATCGAGTGAGATCGAAAGTGAGATCGATAGTGAGATCGATAGTGAGATCGATAGTGAGATCGATATGTAGATCGATTGTGAGATCGATGGTGAGATCGATAGTGAGACTGGGCGAGTGAGATCGATGATGATATCGATTGTGAGATCGATAGTGAGATCGATCGAGTGAGATCGATCGAGTGAGATCGATAGATCGATAGTGAGATCGATCGAGTGCGACGTTGGCCCCTCCCCCCCTCGCCTCCTTATCACCCGAAGGGTGGTCTATGCGGTGTGTATATATATGTGTGTGTGTGTGTGTGTGAACGTGTGTGTGTGTGTGTGTGTGTGGGTGTGTGGGTGTGGGTGTGGGTCAAGCTAGCCAGCTCGAGCGAGTCAAGCATGGCATGCCCATTCCCACCCGCCATCCCACAACATATGAAACAGTGATGGCACAACTGGGGGCTGCGCGGGCACTTCAGTGTCGCAGGTCCCAGAGCGCTGACTTCCAGGTCCCAGAGCGCCCCAGGAACGCCCCAAGAGAGCCGAGACGCCCCCGAGACGATCCGAGGGGCCTTGAGTCGCCGAAAGAACGTTCCAAGACGCCCAAGATGGCCTCCAGACGGCCGCAGACGCCGCCAAGAAACCGCGGGGAGCCTCAGGAGGCCCTCCAAGAGCCTGGACAAGCAAAAACCTCCCAGGCATTCGTCACCCCAGGGCCTCCTGGAACGCCCCGGCGCCCAATGAATTGGCGAGCTAAAAACGTGCGCTGAGCCAAAGCGGGAGCGCAACTTTGAGAAAATTTCGCTCGGCGCCCAAGCGGGAAGGTCATTTCACTCACTTCGAGCGGGGGGGGGGGGGGCCGCGCCCAATTCTTGCCATGCATTTTTGCGGGGTGGACGACAAGAACAGCTATGCGGGCAGGGAAAATCAGCATGGCATTGCTTCTGATAAGTAAGGTGGCCCCTCCCGCCTTGGGGTTGCCCCAGAAGTCCGCGCGCGATGTGCGCCGCGCCCCACTCCTGCCACGCATTTCGCATCGTCGACGACAAGACAAGCCATGATGAAAGGAAAAACGGCAACTCTGCACTGTTTTTTTTACAATTCGGATGAGAGGACCCGCAGCCCGCATGGACGTCCGCGCGCGATGCGCGCCGCGTCCCATTCCTGCGACATATTTCGCACCGCCGGCGACAAGGCAGGCCATGCTGACAGGAAACAGCGAAGACTTTGTATTGATTGTTTAGGTCAGGATGGGCGGGCCTGGATTTACGGCCGCGCGCGATGTGCGCCCCGTCCCATATGTGCGCCGCGTCCCATTGCTGCCACATCTTTCGCACCGTCGGCGACAAGGCAGGCCATGCTGAGAGGAAACAACGAAGACTTGGTATTGATTTTTTACAATCAGAATGGGCGGGCCCAGATTGATTGCCGCGCGCGATGTGCGCCGCGTCCCATTCGTGCCACGCTGTTCGCATCGCCGACGACAAGAAAAACAATGTTGAGAAGAAAAACGGCCACTTTGTATTGATATGTTTACAATCCGGACGGGAGGTCCCGGATTGGGTTGCTATCGGCCGGAATACGACGTAGGTGGGGGTATATGATAATAAGGATCAAGGATGTGGGTGTGGGTGTGGGTCAAGCTAGCCAGCTCGAGCGAGTCAAGCATGGCATGCCCATTCCCACCCGCCCTCCCACAACATAAGAAACAGTGATGGCACAACTGGGGGCTGCGCGGGCACTTCAGTGTCGCAGGTCCCAGAGCGCTGACACTTCCAGGTCCCAGAGCGCCCCGGGAACGCCCCAAGAGAGCCGAGACGCCCCCGAGACGATCCGAGGGACCTTGAGTCGCCGAAAGATCGTTCCAAGACGCCCAAGATGGCCTCCAGACGGCCGCAGACGCCGCCAAGAAACCGCGGGGAGCCTCAGGAGGCCCTCCAAGAGCCTGGACAAGCAAAAACCTCCCAGGCATTCGTCACCCCAGGGCCTCTTGGAACGCCCCGGCGCCCAATGACTTGGCGGGCTAAAAACGTGCGCCGAGCCAAAGCGGGAGCGCAACTTTGAGAAAATTTCGCTCGGCGCCCAAGCGGGAAGGTCATTTCACTCACTTCGAGCGGGGGGGGGGGGGCGTGCCGCGCCCAATTCTTGCCATGCATTTTTGCGGGGTGGACGACAAGAACAGTTATGTGGGCAGGGAAAATCAGCATGGCACTGTTTCTGACAAGTAAGGTGGCCCCTCCCTCCATGGGGTTGCCCCAGAAGTCCGCGCGCGATGTGCGCCGCGCCCCATTCCTGCCACGCATTTCGCATCGTCGACGACAAGACAGGCCATGATGAAAGGAAAAACGGCAACTCTTCATTGTTGTTTACAGTTAGGATGGGAGGGCCCGCGGCCCGCATGGACGTCCATGCTGAGAGGAAACAACGGGGACTTTGTATGGATATTTTACAGTCAGGATGGGCGGGCACGGATTGACGGCCGCGCGCGATGCGCGCCGCGTCCCATATGTGCGCCGCGTCCCATTGCTGCCACATATTTCGCACCGTCGGCGACAAGGCAGGCCATGCTGAGAGGAAAGAACGAAGACTTCGTATTGATTTTTTACCGTCAGGATGGGCGGGCCCAGATTGACTGCCGCGCACGATGTGCGCCGCGTCCCATTCCTGCCACGCTTTTCGCATCGCCGACGACGAATAAGACAATGTTGAGAAGAAAAACGGCCACTTTGTATAGATTTTTTTTAATAATCCGGATGGGAGGTCCCGGATTGGGTTGCGATCGGCCGGAATACGACGTAGGCGGGGGTATATAATAATAAAGAACAAGGATGTGGGTGTGTGGTGTGTGGTGTGTGGTGTGTGGTGTGTGGTGTGCGGTGTGTGGTGTGCGGTGTGTGGTGTGTGGTGTGTGGTGTGTGGTGTGTGGTGTGTGGTGTGTGGTGTGTGGTGTGTGGTGTGTGGTGTGTGTGTGTGATTGTGCGTGTGCGTGTGCATGTGCGTGTGCGTGTGCGTGTGCGTGTGCGTGTGCGTGTGCGTGTGCGTGTGCGTGTGCGCGTGCGCGTGCGCGTGCGCGTGCGCGTGCGCGTGCGCGTGCGCGTGCGTGTGCGCGTGTGTGTGTGCGTGCGCGTGCGTGTGCGTGCGCGTGCGCGTGCGCGTGCGCGTGCGCGTGCGTGCGTGTGCGTGCGTGCGCGTGCGCGTGCGCGTGCGTGCGCGTGCGCGTGCGCGTGCGCGTGCGCGTGCGCGTGCGTGCGTGTGCGTTGTGTGCGTGTGCGTATGCGTGTGCGTGTGCGTGCCGTGTGCGTGTGCGTGTGCGTGTGCGTGTGCGTGTGCGTGCGGGTGCGGGTGCGGGTGCGGGTGCGGGTGCGCGGGTGCTGCGGGTGCGGTGCGGCGGGTGCGGGTGTGCGGGTGTGCGGGTGGATGCGTGTGCGTGTGCGTGTGCGCGTGTGTGCGGTGTGTGTGCGTGTGCGCGTGTGCGCGTGTGCGCGTGTGCGCGTGTGCGCGTGTGCGCGTGTGCGTGTGCGCGTGTGCGTGTGTGTGCGCGTGTGCGCGTGTGCGCGTGTGCGCGTGTGCGTGTGTGCGTGTGTGCGTGTGTGCGTGTGTGCGTGTGTGCGTGTGTGCGTTGTGTGTGTTGTGTGTTGTGTGTTGTGTGTTGTGTGTGTTGTGTGTGTTGTGTGTTGTGTGTTGTGTGTGTTGTGTGTTGTGTGTTGTGGGTTGTGTGTTGTGTGTTGTGTGTTGTGTGTTGTGTGTTGTGTGTGTTGTGTGTTGTGTGTTGTGTGTTGTGTGTGTTGTGTGTTGGGTGTTGTGGGTGTTGTGGGTGTTGTGGGTGTTGTGGGTGTTGTGGGTGTTGTGGGTGTTGTGGGTGTTGTGGGTGTTGTGGGTGTTATTGTGTTGTGTGTGTGTTGTGTGTGTGTGTGTGTGTGTGTGTGTGTGTGTGTGTGTGTGTGTGTGTGTGGTGTGTGTGTGTGTGTTTGTGTGTGTGGTGGTGTGTGTGTGTGTGGTCGTGTGTTTGTGGTGTGTGTGTGTTGTGTGTGTGTGGTGTGTGTGTGTGTGTGTGTGTGTGTGGGTGTGTGGTGTGTGTGTGTGTGTGTGTGTGTGTGTGTGTGTGTGTGTGTGTGTGTGTGTGTGTGTGTGTGTGTGTGTGTGTGTGTGTGTGTGTGTGTGTGTGTGTGTGTGTGTGTGTGTGTGTGTGTGTGTGTGTTGGTGTGTGTGTTGTGTGTGTGTGTGTGTGTGTGTGTGTGGGTGGGGGGGGGGCGGGGGGGATGGGGGGGGGGGGTATCTGTGTCCGCTCCCTCGCGGTCGGGGTTCTGGGGCACGATCCCGCGGATGCGAGGTCGCGCAGATACGCTCCGCGCGGACCGTCCGCGAAACAAACACGCCCCGTACGTCCGCAGGGTCGCGGCCCATGGGCTTGGCCAGCGAGGCCGCGGACACGGATGTGTTTGCGCGCACGCCGTATATGGGGACCCCAATCCCCAACTTTGAAAGCGTTCCGAGCGGACCTTGGTGGTCCCCACACGTGGTGGTGAGAACACCCGGTGGTGAGTTTTGGGCGATTTGGGTAATGGTGTTCGAGCGCTGGCTGGCCCAGGAAACGCAAAACCTCGTGGCGACCGCGTGTCCCTAAACCCGGTGGTGACCCAGAATTATTTTTGGGGGGAATCGGGGTCACCACCGGGTGTCTCACCACCTGGTTTGGAGACCACCAAGGACCTGCATCTGCAGCCGAACTCCGGGACATACGCTGCGGGTGCGCCCGAAAAGCCCCCTGGGGGTGCATCCCCCAGCGTCCCCCTCTCCTGAACAGAGACAGACCGTCCCGGCATTCCTATAGTCCTACCACGAAATGTTCTTAGAACCCAAAAATGTCGTAAGAACAAAAACAATGTCCTTAGAACATAAACCCGACGCGGTAAAGCAAGACGGTCCCAGCCAGAAATGTTCTAAGAACATTAGGTGGGAACCACAAAAGGTTCTTAGAAAATGGTTTGGTAGGGCCATAAGCGAGCCAGGACGCTTCGCCACTGCTTGACTCTCCTGAGCGTCCCAACCTCTCGGGCGGAGCTCGGGGAGCCCGGCGAGACGCCGCCCGCCGTCCTGGTCCGCGGACACGGCCGTCTGCGCCGCGCTCTTGGCGAGCAGCGCAGCCGCGGCGGACTCCCCGCCCTCGTCGACGAGCTTCTTGCCGCCCTCCGCAGGATCCGTCCGCATCGAATCGGGAAATCTGCTCGGATCGAACCGGATCGGCTGCGCCAGGCTGCACAGCAGCGCCACGTGGGCCTCGGGGCGCATCGCATCGTCGGAACATCGCAGTCGAACCGGATCGACCGGCCGGCATCGACACCGAGTCGGATCGATCGCACCGAAGGGGACACCGCCTTCGCCGTCTCCACCCGCTCGTTCACGGCCGTGCTCGCGGCCGCCAAGGTCGCCGAGGCCTTCTCGCGGATGCCCCCGAACATGGCGGCCAAAGTCGCTGGAGCTTTCGATTCTCGCCGGGCTGGTCCCGGACACCCCCGCGCGGGCGGCCCCCGGGCTTCAGCAAGTGTGGCCACGGAGGCAGGGGGGACAGGAGCATGAGCGAGCTTCGGCAACACGCAGGAGCGACCTGGGGCAAGAGTGACTCTGTCGGTGCGGGGCCATATCTAGGAGCGCCCGCCAGTGCTGGAGGGACCCCCCTGCGGGCCCGCACCGAAAGTCGCTCCAGCGAAGGGCCACTCTTACGCGTGACCGAACGCTGTGGCAGGGACGGAGGGAAGACGACTCATGATGACAAGCTTGTCTAAGGGAAACCTCCGTGGTCTAGGACCCTGGGCTGCTATCGAGGCCCATGCCAGGTTCCTCCAAACAGGCTGCGCAGCCAACTGGAACACTTCCCACGAGAAGAGAGGGGGGGGGGAACGTGGGAGCTACAAGGCCCACGTCCTGCGGAGCAGGAGGTCCGAGGACTCACCCGCGCAGCCGACGAGGCCTGCGGGGCGCGGGCGGCTGCACTGCACGCCCGCACCAGCCGCTCCACGCGACCGCCGACGCGGGCATGGCTGGCGGTATGATGCGCCTGGCGGCTGGAGAGCAGGCGCTGCTGGCGGACCGGGCGCCCGCTCGCAGCGAGGCTGCAGGCCACAGGCAGGTGGCGGCAGCGGTGCCATACGCCTGGCCAGGCCCGCGGCAGCGCCCGCCGCAGGCACCGCAGCCCTTGCGCCAGGCCCTGCTCCCTCAAACCCGCAGCCTTCAGCACGAGGGCGAGGAGGAGGAGGAGGAGGTGGTGGCAGAGGAGGAGAGACACAACGGGCCACGACACCAGTTACAGCAGGCAGCAGAGGCAGAGGCGGAGGAGGAGGAATACTAGCATGGACGCTCACGGTGGTGTCGGCGCGAGCCGCCAGTCGCACCAGCCAGCGCGAGCCACCCGTATACCGGCCTGCGAGAGCCGCCTTGTCACGTCGTCTGGCGCGAGCCGCTCGGCACACCAGCTGGCGCGAGCCGCCCGTCACACCCGCCTGCGCAGGCCGCCCGCAACGACGTGGACAGCCGTTCACCGAATGCAGCTGGAAGAGGCTGCGGAGGCGGCGGGGGCGGGGGCCCCAAGACTTCAACCTGCGGCGCGGCGGCGTGGGCGGCTTCGGCAGCTAGCGCGGCGGCGTGAGCGGTGCGGCAACACGATGTTCGCCTCTGCGATCTGCACTAGCTACTTGCGGTGGCGCCTGGTGCACAATATTTCCGACGGGCCGCAATGGCTCTCACATCGTGTTCGTTCCTTCCTCACCGTGCAGTGTAGTCGCAATTTCGACTGTCCAGCTGCTGCAGGTACGCATTTCATGTTCTTGTGTTAGCACCATGTTACTTACAAACCCATCGCCATTTTTCGTTCGTGTTTGCCATGGATGGCGGGGGGGGGGTCGACATGCTGCCCGACGAGTGCCGACCCGTGCACGGGCGCGCTCTGCCTGCGAGGTGCACATGGCGCACATGGCGCGGCTGGAGCTGTGGCACACCTGACGCACACGGAGCACGTACGGCTGATGGCTTGAGACCCTCCTCCTCCTCCTCCTCCTCCTCCTCCTCCTCCTCCTCCTCCTCCTCCTCCTCCTCGCGCGCGGCCCATCTGGCACGAAGGGCGTACCTCGCGAGCCCCGCGCACCCTGCGCTCGTGTTGCCTCACAGTGTCTCTGTGTGTCCGATGGCGGCACACGCCTAGGCTGCAACTCGGGTGCTGCGCAGGAGGGCGTGCGGGAGTGAGCCAGACAGCTCGTGACGACCTCCCTGCGAACCTATCCCCTCCCCATACCCTCTCCTCTGGGTCTGCAGGTCGGGGGGGGGCGAGGTGTCAGAGAGTCATGCTTGGCCCATGATGGCTCCAACACAGCCCCAGATATGACAAGGCGGCATCCAAGACGACACAACATAGCTCAATCTCACTTCCAGCATGCCTCCGAGATGTCTCAAGACCACCATGCGACGGCTCTGAGTGGCCTCGGAGACTCCCAAGATAGCCCCCCGAAAGGCCAAAATCATTCAAAAGCCCCAGGTTGTTCGATGATGGTTGCCTTCTTCGTCGTTCACGTCCGATGGGCATCTAAGGCCTCATGATGGATCCAAAACCGCCTAGTGGAGCCCCGAGAAGGGCCAACAAGGGCGCCAATACGGCCCCGAGAGCGCCCAAGAGCGCCCCCCAAAAAGCGTTCCAGAAGGCCCCTAAGATGCGACGTGCCAGGCCCCGGCGAGGGCAGGCAGATTGGTGCCGTCCCCATGTTCGATCGATGCCATTCAAGATAGCACCAGGAGAGCTCCCAAGGTCACCGAGAAGGTCCCCAAGCTCCCGAAAGGACCTCGCGAGAGCCCTACACTGGCTCCCGTGTTCCGCCAAAGAACTCCCAGAGCGAGAGATCATCGAAAGCCTGAGCGGTTGACTTCCGGATAAGCTGCTACACTCCCCTGATCAGAGCAGCTAGCCCAGGGATCGTTTGTGGATGGGCTGCTCGTGGGGACAGGCCAAGCGTCAAGAACAGAATGTGCTCTGCGGCATGCTCTGTCCGCACCAGCAGCCAAACAGAAAGTAGGGGTTGTGCCCTGGGGCGTGCTCGGCACTCCGAGGCCTCTCCCAGCGGCCCTGAAGACTTCCTTAGCGGCCCCTCAGGCTCGCCCCGGCGACCGTGAGGATTCCCCAGAAGGTACAGGTCTCTCACAGCGGCCCTGAAGCGTTCCCCAACGGCCCTGACCTTCCCATCATCGCTGTCATCAACATCATAAACATCAGCATCAGCAGCAGCATCGAAATCATCATCATCATCAGCATCATCATCAGCATCATCATCATCATCATGATCATGATCATGATCATCATCATCATCATCATCATCATCATCAGCATCATCATCATCATCATCATCATCACCATCATCATCATCATCATCATCATCATCATAATCGTCGCCGTCGTCGTCAACAACAACAGCAGCAGCCTCATGGTCACCATCATCATCATCATCAGCATCATCATCATCAGCATCATCATCATCATCATCACCATCAGCATCATCATCACCATCGCAATCACCATCACCATCGTCATTGTCATCGTCATCGTCATCATCATTGTCATCACCGTCGCCGTCGTCGTCGCGGTCGTCGTCACCATCATAATCCTCATCGTCATCCTCATCATCAGCATCATAATCATCATCTTAACAACAAAAGCACCATGAGCGCAATCATAACAAGCGCTATGCTTGTGGTAAGGCCTCTGGCCGGATGGGTTGCCCCGCGCTAGCTGCACGTACTCGACGATACTTCCACCGATCCAGACCAGGCTGATCCCTGGGCACAGGATCGGCGGGTACGCACTCCTGGAGTGTCCAGGAAGGCCATGGGCGCATTCTATTGCTCGCGGCCATAAAAGCCGTTATGGCGGGGATGGGGGAGGACCGGAGGGGGCATAACGTAGCCCCCCCCAGCCAGAATGTGGTGCTGGTCGCGCTGCAGCAGTGCCTGAGACACACTGAGGGAGGGAGCGTTACGTCATTGGGGGGGAGGCGATGGGGGGGGAGGGGAGGGGGCAACACGCGCGTTATGGCACAGAGGTTAAGAAAAACACCTCCCATGAGTTATCCACCAGATCCTGGGCCCAGGATTGGCCCTGCAGCCCCCCGCGCCCAAGAGCGGCCCTGCCATGGTCGGTGCATGCGTGTAGCCGGCGATCCTCCCGGGAGACGCGGAAAGGAGGAGGCCGAAAAGGGGCAGCAGCAGCCTGAGCAGGAGGAGCAGCAGCGTTAGGAGATCGGGCAGGAGAATAAGGAGCAGCCCCTCCTCCTCCTCCTCCTCCTCCTCCTCCTCCTCCTCCTCCCTCCTCCCTCCTCCCTCCTCCCTCCTCCCTCCTCCCTCCTCCCTCCCTGCTCCTCCTCCTTCTCCTCCTCAGCCGCGGGCGCCGCCGCGGGCGCCGCGGGCGCCGCCGCCGTCGCCGCCGCCACCTCCGGACCCATTTCGTGTCTTGGGTCGCTGCAGTTGTCGCCGTCGCGGCTCGCCTTCTGGCCGCCCCTCATCTCCAAGTACGTCATCATCCGGCTGACGCGGCCCTGCGGCGCTGTGCGCGCCACGGGTGCAACCACCGATGCAAACAACGTGTCAGTGCATGTGATTCTCCCTCTACTCTCTCTCTCTCTCTCTCGTTCCCTCCCTCCCCCCTCTCTCTCTCGTTCTCTCTCTCCCTCTCTCTCTCTCTCTATCTCTCGATCTGTCACGCTCTCGCTGTCACGTTCAGGCACGGCCTCTTCATTTCTCTCTGTCTCTCTCTCTCTCTCTCTCTCTCCCGCTCTCTTTTTCACTCCCTCTCTCTCTCTGCCCCTACCTCCAGCGCAACTTTCCGCTTTCTCCGCGCATGGCGAGTCTAGACACACCGCACACCGCGGTGTGGCAAATTCGCGTCACCTCCATACACCCGCGCGCGCCGCAGTGGTTCCAGAGGGCCCTCGACGTGCGCTTCATGTACCGCTGCAGCCCAGGCCACCAGGTAAGGTCTGCTCGAAGGCAACCTAAACGAACCTGCAGGAGACCAACCTCAACCGAAAGAAAGCCTGCGTCGCCGCACTCCAGACTCCAGAGCAGCTCTGGCGTCGGCCGAACAGTCGCTGCTTACATCGAACACGATCATAAGCACCAATACGATTTGGCAACATCTACCAACAACACTGCTACTACCAGCGTAAGCTTAGGGACGAGCTGATGGAACTGCGCGGGAAGAAGATCAGCTGCATCATGCTACGCCGCCCCCTAAATCACAGGGCGGGCACCAACCGTGACCCTGCAAAATCTGCAACCGCGGTCGACGCCCACCAGCGTATCGGCAGAACCCCTCTTATCAGCCGTGACGCTCCAACCTGGGACGTCCTGGTCGCGCCTCCACTTCACAGGGCCGACCACGGGACCTCGCACACCGGAAACATCCACCGGCGCCCCACCAGAACCAAAACACCGACCGAGGATCCTCCGTGGTCATCTTGCCAGCTGCTACCTCGGACAGGGGAGCCGCTACTCCGGAAGACCCTGGACCACCCCGCTGCAGCCGCCGCAGACTCCGACGGGCACACGCCCACCAGCAGGGCGGAGCCCAGGGCGAATCCAGGCAAGGCCTCAGTGACACCCGAGGCACGTCAAACGCCACTGGCACCACCACATCGCAACGAAGAATCGGATGCATTCAAGCCAAGCGTCCAGGGGATCCCCGATCAGACCGAGGACAGATTGGGCCTCTGCGACGAGGCGGACGCGTGCCCCTACGAGTGGGACCTCAGCGACGAACGTGGCCCCTGTGACGACTGGGACCTCAGAAGAGAACGGAGGGCAAAATCCACCAGGGCCGAGGCGCCGTCCGACTCCACGGGCTCCGCCCCGGGTACCCGTGCCTCCGTTCAGCTGGGCAGATACCGAAACAACGGCCACCATCCAGGCGAAGAATTCCGCTAACGGCCAACGCGGCATCGTCACTGGACGCACGGGGGATCAGAATCAGTACTGGGTGGTCCTGTTGACCAACGGCAACGCCGCCGCCCTGCTCACTTCAAGTCTGATCCCTCGCTCCCAACATCAGCCGGCGAGGGGTAACGCTGCCTCAACGTCAGGGCTCAGGCCAGCAGAGACGTCAGACTCGTCGATGACGGCACCTACGGCTGAAACACCAGGCCCGCCCGTGCACGCGCGGAAACCCGCGCCAAGGCCCGAGCGTGACTCCCCGACGCCAGCCGTCGCACCAGCGAGCGCGGCGCCGACAGTGCTCGCGGACTCCTTGGGGCTCAGCTCGGGGCAGCGGAAGCGCCTTGACGAGCTCCGCAAGCATCGATGTGGACGGCAAGCCCCCGACGGCCCACCGCTCCCCGCTATCTTGGAGGGTGGTGCCGGGGACGCCCCACGCGAATCGTCGGCACCACCGCGCGCGAGCCCCCGACCGGAGGAGGAGGAGGAGGAGGAGGAGGAGGAGGAGGAGGAGGAGGAGGAGGAAGAGGAAGAGGAGGAGCAACGAGGAGGAGGAGGGGGAGGGGGAGGGGGAGGAGGAGGAGGAGGAGGAGGAGGAGGAGGAGGAGGAGGAGGAGGAGGAGGAGGAGGAGGAGCAATGGGAGCGGCTGGGGAAAAAAGGTAGCGAGGACGCGCCGTGCAGCGAAGGCGATGCCCGTGCGGACAGGGGCGCGCCTCGCCCTCGACCCCAACGCCCCCCCACCCCCCTGCGCAGCTGCGGCAGGGACGCCGCCGGTGCCCACGACGCTGAGAGTGATGCGCAGCACGGTGGTGCTGCTTCGACTTCTCCAACCGTCGCGGGGCGATCGACGGCCTGCATCTGCCTCGTCTCGCACGTCTCGCGAGGAGCACGGGGCCACGCCGCGCTTCGCGGAGCACCACACCGGTGCGCAGGCTCGTGAGCCCGGACCGGGCGAGCAGACGCCTCCACTTCCTTGCCCCGCTGGTCGCGGCCAGCTCACCGGGGCTCGCGCCCGCGACAGGGACGAGCAACTCGCTGCAGCGACCAAGCCAACACACATCCTCCTCCTCCTCCTCCTCCTCCTCCTCCTCCTCCTCCTCCTCCTTCTCGTCCTCATCCTCGTCCTCGTCGTCGTAGTCCTCCTCTTCAATCCATTGCCTCCTCAACAAACGCCTCGACACCCTCTCCACGGGGCGACTTTGTCACCCGACCGCTGGGTCGCACCACGAGGACGACGACGCGCGACAGCGACGCACGAAGATGACGACGACACTGTGCAATCGTCTCGCACTTCCGCCTTCCCCCATCTCCTGCAGAGGACGCCTGGGCAATCTCTGATTACGGTCGGGTTTGGATGGCTGGCCATATGAACACACGAAGCATGATTTTGTCACCGGCATGGCCGGGCAATGCTTGCGCGGGCTAGCCGGCCGCTTTCCTTTGCCAAGAGTGGGGGAGCATGCCAGTTTTGGGGGGAGATCTCCTGGGCCCCTGCCGCTCCTCCTCCTCATGCTCCCCCTCCGCCTGCCCCCACCCCCTCCTCCTCGGACGAGGGCCACTTGAGACAACGAAGGCTCCCCCGCCGAAGTCTTAGGTCGGGCATGTCCTCCTACAGGCGGGTCTTGGGCGAACAACAATACAAATAGTCCGAACACACACCCTCCAAATCATCGGAACATACGCGATGAAGAACATCGTGCCCCGACAATGTTTTGACTGCGTTTGACTATGTCTCCTGTAGAGTTAAGTCGGGCCTGTGCCCCTACAGGGGGATTTTCGACGAAGAGTAAAAAATCCCCCCGAAATTATATAAAAAAAAAAAAAAAAAAAAAAAAAAAAAACTAATCTAAAAATAGTCTGGGCACTAGTTTTGGAACACTTGTTGACCTTTTTGGGGGGCATTTCGGGCGTATTCTTTCATCGAAAATCCCCCTGTAGGGGCACACGCCCGACAGAACTGTAGAGGGACGGGCCCGACTCCGCCCGAGCCCCAGCCCGACCCGTCTCTCGACACGGGCCCCGGTCGTGGCCACGAGAGCCGCCAGCGGTGGCCCACACGGGACCCAGCAGAGAAAAAAAAAAAGGCGGGCCGCCGCTGCCGCGGCCAGCCCCCCTCCGACCCTCCCCCCCCCGCCACGCTTCCTCGCCCCCCCTTCCCCAAGCGTTATGTCGGGCGTGTCCCCCTACAGGGGGGGATTTTCGACGAAAAATAAGAAAAAAACAAAAAAGTACCCCAAACAAGCCCCCCAAGAAGGTAGAAACATTTTTAAAACAAATAGCCCCCAGACTATTTTTGGATTATTTTTTTTGAAGGGGCCCAAGGACACACAAACAAATACACACAAATCAAAGGGTTCCCCATATTATCCCAGATGTTCTGGGTTTCTGTCTTCCCCCCCACGTCCCATATTTTCCATATTCTTGAGGGACTCGACGATTCATGGTGTCTGTGTGTTTCTTTCCCTCTTGCTTTTTGACTATTATTTATTTTTGGTCGACAACCCGACGGGCCCGACCTACCCCCGGCGGGGGCCCGCACAGGCACGGAGGCCGCGCCTCGAGGCACGGGTCGGCCGTCCGGTCGAAGGCCTCCCGGAAGAACTGGCAGATGCCGCCCCTCCTGCGGCCGCGGATGCCCGCGGAGGAGGAGGAGGAGGAGGAGGAGGAGGGAGGAGGAGGAGGGAGGAGGAGGAGGAGGAGGAGACAGAGACGGAGGAGGAGGAGGAGAGAGACGGAGGAGGAGGAGAGGAGGAGGAGGAGGAGGAGAGGAGGAGGAGGAGGAGGAGGAGGGAGGAAGAACTGGCAGATGCCGCCCCTCCTGCGGCCGCGGAGCCGCGCGGCCGGTGCGCGGGGGCCGGGGGAGCGGCGATCGCCGGAGGGCGGCAGCCAGCAGAGCACACTAACGATCGGAGCTTCGCGAGGGTTTCGCGGATTTGCGCTGGACCCCCTCCCCTGGCCATTGAATCCCGAAAAATTCCGGGCGCGACCGGTCGCGGCGGTAAAGTCGGTAGCGCTCGGTCGCGACCGATTCGTCGGTAGCGGTCGGTCGCGCGTCGGTCGCGCGTCGGTCGGAGGGCGGCAGCCATAGGGGGAAAACAAACCTACCTCGCTTTTGACCACCCTCGCTTCCAAGAGATACCACAAGCGATGCCAAAGTATACGGCCTGCACTGGTCAGGCCGCTGGACGAGGAGGCGCGTGGTGTGGCTTGGTGTTTCCCGGAAGCGAAAGCGGGGTAGGCAACTCACGCTCTGAAGCCAGCAGGGCACACAAACGTTCGGAGCTTCGCGCGGGTTGCGCGGATCTGCGCTGGACCGCCTCCCCTGGCGCGTGGAGCGCGCCAGGGGCGGCGCCGGGGGCGCCGCGGGGGAGATCAGTTGTGCGAGCGGCTGTGCCCCGACCCATCTTTTTTCTTCTGGCATGGCTGGCTGGTCCCTCCCCTCTTTGTCAAGAAGACGAACAAACCACATGAACATAAGCTGTTGGCGCTCCGCGCGAGTTTCTTGGATCCGCGCTGGACCCCCCTCCCTGGCGCGCTCCGCGCGCCAGGGGCGGCGCCGGAGGCGCCGCCGGGGGGCACAGGCTTAAGTCGGGCCTGTCCCCCTACAGGGGGATTTTTTACAAAAAATAAACAAACTCCCAAAATAACCAAAAAATATTACAAAAACAGTCTGGGGACAATTTCTTGAACATTTGTTGACCTTTTTTGGTGTATTTTGGTGGGCATTCTTTGTTTTTCGTCGAAAATCCCCCTGTAGGGGGACACGCCCGACATACGTAAGCCCAGGCGCGGATCCAAGAAATCCGCGCGGGGCGCCCAAAGTTTCTCTCCGTGTGGACTGTTTTCCCTCCGCTGCTGGGCCCGTGCCCGTGGCCCCGCGCCGCCGTGCCCGCTGCCTGCCGGCGCCTGCTCTCGGGGAGGACCCGAGGCACCAGCTTCACGAGCTGGCTTGAGGTCGGGCGCGTCCCCCTGCAGGGGGAGTTTTCGACGAACAATTGAAAATGTTCCAAAAATATTCCAAAATGGTCCAACAATGCTCAAAAAATAGCCCCCTGACTATATTGTAACTATTTTTGAATATTCCCCCTGTAGGGGAGCTTCGACGAAGAAGTAAAATTATTCCAAACATACTCCAAAACGGTCAAACTCGCAGAAAGCATCTAATACACCACCACCGTGCCAGGTCAGGGCCATCCTGGGGCCTAGGATGGTGTACACGCCCTCCTGGCCGAGCCAGGAGGGTCTATACACCACCCTACGGCCCAGGATGGCCCTGGTCTGGCACGGTGGTGGTGTATAGATGCCTTCGTCGGATCAGACAGTACTCAAAAAATAATACCCAGACTGTTGTTCTACTATGTTTGAAGATTCCCCCTGTGCAGGGACAGGCCAGGCATAAAATATCCCAAAAATTCTCCAAAATGATCAAAAAATACTCAAAAATAGTCCCCAAACTATTGTTGTCACTATTTTTGAATATCCCTCCTGTTTTTCAGGGACAGGCCCGGCTGAAAGCTGGCTGCGTCCTCGGGGCCGCAGTCCCCGCCCGAGGGCGCGGCGGCCCCTCCCGCAGGGGGGGCGGCAGGAGGCCGCCGGGAGGGCGGCGGCGGCCTCGGCCGGCGCAGCCGCGACGCGAGAGCTGCGCCACCCCCCCCCCAAAGTAGCGTTAGGTCGAGCGTGCCCCCCTACAGGGGGATTGTCGATGAAAATAAAAAATACCCCCAAAATGCTCCAACAATACTCCCCAAATGGTCGAAAAATGCTCAACCAATAGTCCCCCGAGTATTTGGTTTTACTATTTTTGAAGATTCCCCCTGTAGAGGGACAGGCCCGACTTAAAAGTAGCGGCCCAGAGGGCCCCAAGACGGCCCCAGAGGGCACCAAGACGGCCCCGAGGGAGCCCCTGAGGGCCTCCAGGCGGCCCACCACGGGAGCCTCGAGACGGCTCCAGAGGCCCTCCAGAGGGCCCCCGAGAGGGCCCCCCCCCAAAAGAAACGGCGTGCCCCGGGCCGGGCTCGCCGCTCGACCGCGGTCGTGCCTGCGCCCGTGCATTGCCCCGAACAGCGACGCTCGCACGCGTCCTCCCCGCCCAATGCATCACTTCGTGGCCCCACAGGGAGGGAGCTCCACTGAAGGCCCCACAAGCGAAGTTCGCACGGGTCCGCTCCAACGGAGACCCCAAAAACAACGTTCGTATGCGCCCGCCCCACCCGATACAGTGCTGGCCCTAGAGGGAGCCCCACGGAAGTTCCCAGAAGCAACCGTCCAGAGCCGATCACTGGGCTTCTGTTGCTCCCATCGCACTTAAGGCCCACATCCCAGAAATAACTTCGAGCACCGAAAAAGTGTCGAAAGAATGTCGAGAGAGTGTCGAAACAGTGCCGGACGAGAGTCTCCCAAGGCCCGACTCGTGAAAACCCTAGAGTTTCGGTAATTACTCTGCTGGTGCTCGAGATTCTTCCTGGTGGTCAAGGCTAAAAGCAAGCTGGAGCATCATAACCGTGTGCTGCCTTGGGCTGCGGGCACGGCCAGCAGGCCAAGGCAGCACACACACACACACAAGCACACACACACACACACACACACGCACGCACGCACGCACGCACGCACGCACGCACGCACGCACGCACGCACGCACGCACGCACGCACGCGCGCGCGCGCGCACACACACACACACACACACACACGCGCGCGCACACACACACACGCGCGCACACACACACGCGCACACGCGCACACACGCACACACACACGCACACACACACACACACACACACACGCGCACACACACACAGGTCGAACAGGGACCGACCGTCCTGGCATTTCTAAAGTCATACCACGACATGTTCTTAGAACCCAAAAATGTTCTAAGAACAAAAACAAGGTTCTTAGAACATTATCCCGGTGTGTTAAAACAAGACAGTCCCAGCCAGACATGTTCCAAGAACACTTCACATCGTGGGAACCACCAAAACAAGTTCTTAGAACACTTCCTGGTGGGGCTATCGGCGAGCCGGGACGCTTCGCCACCGATTGAACCAGGGGTGCGAGCAGACGCCGCCGACGTGCTCCCCCGCCCGCAGGAGGCCTCGAGGAGGAGGAGGAGGAGGAGGAGGAGGCAGAGGAGGCAGAGGAGGAGGAGGAGGGAGGAGGAGGAGGAGGAGGAGGCGCAGGAGGCGAGGGCGGGGGCCCTCGGAGGCCCGGGGCCCCCTCCGAGGGCCCGGGGCCCCCTCCGAAGGGCCCCCGCGCTGGCCGAGGTCGGCGCGCCCCCGCCGACCAAGCCTCGGCGGCGCGCACAAAGGGGGGGGCGGAGGGAAGGGGGGGAGGGCTGCTTTCACCTTGGGCGCCCGAGTTATCCGGGGTAACTCGGGTCTGGGGTAACTCGGGTTCGGGTTCCCGAAAAAAGAACCCGAGTTAGCCCTGACCCGAGGTACCCCTGATGATTCGGGGCTCTGGACGCCCGAAATATCCGGGGTGACTCGGGTCCGGGATAACTCGGGTTCGGAATCCCAAAAAACGAACCCGAGTTAGCCCTGACCCGATTTACCCCTGATGATTCGGGGCTCTGATAACCAGCCTCGAACGTATCCCTATCCCCAAGATGGGCGAGCAGAAAGCGAGGGCAACCTTAGGGACAGGCCCTCAGGAGCGGAGGGGATCCTCAAGATCGGCATCGAGGTGAGGTGATGTCAAACATAAGGATAGGGATATGTTTCAAACTGGTAATTCTTAGAAGGAGGTGGCTCCTCAGAAGGCGCCGGCCCATGCATCCGCAGGTGGGGCCCGCGCCTCCTATAAGAGGCAGGGGTGCGTCTTGGAAGCCCTGCCCGCTCCCCCCCGCCCCCCGCCTGGCCATCGCTCGGACGTCCACTCCCTGTGCCTTTTGTCGGTTTCGTGCGTGGCTTTTTCGCCCAATGATCAAGGGGTGCTCCTCGATGGTCCTCGCCCAAGGAAAACTGCACACGTCCGAGCGATGCCAGGCCTCTGCGCGGGGCTGCAAAGGGGCATGCCCTGCGGTCGGGAACTGTTGCTCGTAGCGTGCCGCGACGGCGGCCCCGGGGCGGCAGGCCGCGCCTGGCAAGCGGGCGCATGGCGCGTCGCTCCGCGTCGTGGGGGATCGGGAGGCCTGGAAAACCTCAGCACGTGGGCGCCAGGGGAGCGCAAGATTGAAGGGGCCCACAAACACACAAACAAATACACACAAATAAAATGATTCCCCATATTTTCATCTATTGTCTGGGTTTTTGTCTTCCCCCCCACTTCCCATATGTTCCCATATTTTCTGGGGAATCGACGATTAATTGTGTCTTTGTGTTTTCTCCCCTCCTGAAAGGTGGATGGCATGTCGCGCCGAGGCGTGGTGGGCCAGAACCGATTCCATCGGGCGGAATCTCAATCGGGCGGAACCTCCGCCAGTGCCGCACTTCTTTTCCTGGTGAAGCACAGTATCGATTTCAACATTGGAACCGCCCCGCCCAACTGCAGTCAGGGGCCTTGGCAGGACTGCACGGGTGCAATCTCGCGGGGGCTTCAAAGGGCTGCGGGCGCCGGCCGTACTGCGCACGCGCCCCGCGCGCAGAGGTAATCAGGGAGAGGAGGGAGGAGAAGGCAAGAGGGCAGGGAGGGGGCGGAGGGGCGAGGGAGGAAGAGAGAGGGAGAGGGCGGAAGGGAGAGGGAGGAAGAGAGGGCGGAGGGGAGAGGGAGGAAGGGAGATGGCGGAAGGGAGAGGGCGGAAAGGGGGGAGGGCGGAAGGGAGAGGGCGGAGGAGAGAGGGCGGAAGGGAGAGGGCGGAGGGGAGAGGGCGGAAGGGAGAGGGCGGAGAGGGCGGCAGGGAGAGGGAGGCAGAGGGTCGACGGAGGCAGCAGCAGCATGGACCGAGACGGCTGTGGCAGAAAAAGCGCCCATAGAGAGAGAGAGAGAGAGCCCCACCCGGTGCTCGCCCCGCGCTGCACGGCGCGCTGTCCCGATTACGACACCGCGCCCCCCCTGGAGAGGAGCGCAAGCTCCGTGGTTCTCGGGCTGCGGAGCGTGAGGCGCGGGGCTCTCCGCCCGTGCGCGGGCGAGCCAGAGTGCCGGCAGCTCTGGGACGGGCTCGAATCCCGCAGCGCGGGCTGCGGGAGGGAGAAGCTGCAACAGGAGAGGTGGACAAGAAGGACGTCGCTGAAAAAAATCTGGGCCAGCTTCCCGGAAGTTTCTAGAGACAGACCTGGGCCAGTGTATGTGGTCTGTGCTGGAATGGCGAAAGTTCTCAAGGAACTAGGCCAACTTTCTGGCAAATTCATTGAGAAACGCTGGCCCAGTTTTTCAGGATGAGTTTTCTGAATCATATGCTGGAAGGTTACTGGACGCCTCGGAAAGCCTGGGTTGTGGGATCAAACGATGCGCGCCTGTAGTTCGCCCTTTGGGAGCTCCCGAGACGTGATGAGCGCCGAGAGCAAGACACAACAACTCCTGCGCGGGTGGATGCGCTGCCCCGTGGGCAGCGTCCTTGAATGATCACACGACGCTGCGCAGCCACTGAACGGAAGGTGGAGAAGGAAGCGGAAGAGGAGGAGCAGCACCGGCATGGTTGGCAGGAAACTGAAGACACGGTCTTGCTCTTTGGAGATCCGAGGCCGGGCTGACACATCCCCTCCTTCTCAGGGGTGTCGATGCTGCTCCTCATCATCCGCAACCACATCCTGTATCTGGACTCCTCGTCTACTGTTCCTCCTCAATCCCGCTTTCGTCATCGTCACCGGCGGTGCACATGGAGGGGAAGTGAGAGGGGGCAGGCCTTCTCAGCAGGCGGCGGGGCTTCTCAGGCACCCTCCGGCCTTCTGAGAAGCCATCTCCGTCTTCGGAAACCTGCTTAGAGAACTTCTCCGAAGGGCCGAGACCTTCCGAGCCGTCGAGAAGGCACACCACCTCCGCATCCCCTCCTGGGCTCGCCACCTCCTGGTCGTCTCACTCCTCGCCATCACCTTGCTGCTGCTCCACCTCCTCCGCCGAGTGGCCTCCTGTGCGGGCCGCCTGGCCACCGCCTCCTGCCCGCACGCAGATCAAACTCTGCTGTTGTCCTTACGCCTCCCCCTGTCCCCCATCCCCCCCCCCTTCCCCCTCCCTCCCCGTCTCCCTTTCGATCCCTGTCCTCCTTCACCGCCCCCTCGTCTGCCTCCTCCTGAGGCATGGGACAGCAAGAGCATGTCATGCCCCAATGCGCACGAGCCTCCTCCTCGCCCTCCCTCTCTATACATTATCCGTCTCCCCCTCCTCCTCCTCCTCCTCCTCCTCCTCCTCCTCCTCCTCCTCCTCCTCCTCCTCCTCCTCCTCCTATTCCTCCTCTCCTGCCCCTCCTTTTCCCACCCCATCCTGCGGCGGCCACGGCGAAGACGACGGCGACGGCCCCCCTCGCTGGGCGCGCTCCTGCCCCTGGCCACCGCGAAAGCGGAGATCAGCGTCCCCGGCGCCTGAGGAGCGACGGGGAGAAGAGGGGGAGGGAACCGCAGCCGGGCGACTACGTCCTGGGTCGCCCGCGGGCGCGCGCGCCCGCCACGCCCGCTGGCCCCGCGGCCGCCACGCGCACCTGGGCTCGCCGCGCTCTGGAGCCGCCCGCGGAGGGCCTTCCGCTCCCCGCGGCGACGGCGCGCAGGATGGAGGAGAGCGGGGAGGGGGAGGGGGAGGAGGGGGAGGAGGGGGAGGGGGAGGAGGGGAGGGGAGGGGGGAGGGGAGGAGAGTGGGGGGGGGGGGGGGAGGAGAGCGGGGAGGGGGAGGAGGGGAGGGAGGGGCGGGGAGGGCGGCAAGACGCAACGCCAACGCCGCCCCCCCCCACTCACCCACCGTGACACACTTCGGGAGGTGTGGTGTCTGTTCCATGGGGGCCTGCGTGGCCCCCAGCACTTTTCAATTTGGGCCCGATCTGGACCGGATTTGGAACAGATTTGGACCGGATTTGGACCAGACTTGGACTGGACTCGTGGGGGGAATGCGGTCCACACGCGGTCCACATGCAGGAGAAGCTGATTTCAGTGTCGCCGCCCAAGGCTCCCATGAACAGACATCGAAGGGAGGGGGAGAGTGGGGAGGGGAGGGGCGGGGGAGGGCGGCAAGACGCCACCGTGACACACTTCGGGGGCGGCCAAGAGGGGGGAGGTCCAAGAGGGGGGTGCAAATCATGGCCGGCGGCATGTGCGCGGCCGCAGGGGGGGGGGCCAGGGACGTAATGAAACGAGAAGAGGCGCGATTAAATCAGGGGAAAATTCATGGCCCCCGCCATGATATCCACCCCCCCTAGTCATCACCCCCCTCTTTGCCGCCCCCGAACACTGTGGTCCCGGACGCGCTGCAAGAGTGCCAAGGACGCACTGGGGGGGAGCGTTCCGTGATGGGGGCGGGGGAGGGGGCGAAGAGTGCGGGGGGGAAAGCAGAATCGGGAAACGCAGAGCTACTGACTTATTGGGGCGATCACTGACCATTTCTTCTCGAGGTCAATCACGCTCACCACGTCTACCCTGCCTTCGCTTCTTCGTCAATTGTCTCGCGCATGTCCGCGCTGCGCTCAGGAATGCCGTCTCCAGACGGGTCCAGTGTTCTGCGACGGCGCCAGGGCCAAAATGATTACGGCAACATTGTGTACATTCTGACAAGGGTCGAACACGAACGTGGCAGCCCCGTACCAGCTTGTCGAGACCAGCCAGAGCTATTTCTGGGAGCTACCTGCGCACTGGCCTGAGCCTTTGAATCAAGAGCGAGGGAGGGAGGGAGGTGAGTGAAAGAACGGAGGGAGAGACGGGACGGGAGGGACAGAGGGGGGGGGAATGTTTTGTTAGAAACATGGGTTGAAGTCAAGCGCCAACTCCCAGCAAGATAACAAGCCAGCAAACTCAACTACACGTTGAAGGCAGCGGCAAACAGCCGCGTGCATCCATTGTGACAGGCACTTACCGCCCCGTTCACCACGTCAACGAATGTGGGCATTCAAAAACAATCGAAAAGGATGAACCTGTCAGGAGGGAAACGGACATGGAGCAGCCTCCTTCCGCTTCCCGCACGGCGGAGCACGAACGTCAGACCCAAAAGGATCACCTGCACGATCGTGCGGCACGGCATGGTTCAGCAGAGGCTCGACCGCAAGAAACCTTCCACGAGAAACCGGGCCCCGGGACACCAGGACGTCAATTGCTCTTCGGGTGCGGGCACGTCACGCTGTCCGTCGCAAAGCCATCGAAACCCAAGAAAAGAAACCAAGGGCACCCTGGAGGCAAGCAGGGTGTTCTTGGCACGTGGTTCCTCTGCAGGTGAACCCCAGGGAGGTCCCCGACACGAACATGTACCATTCGCCTGCTGGAGGGCATCGGACTTCTGGGGGCCAGAGCCAGCGAAGAGCAAACTGACGAGAAACAGAGCATCTGAGACAAAGACTGGCCCTGGGTGTTTCTTGGCATGGTTTCCAGCCTGGAACATATCCCTATCCCTATGCTGGGCACCTCCTCATCACGATGCCGATCTCAGGGACTCCCCTATTTTTTGAGGGCGAATCCCCAAGATTGTCATCGCCTTTTGGCGTGTCAATCTTAGGGATAGGGATACGTTCGAGGCTGGTAAACTGTAGAGATGAGGAGCGTGACCAGCCTGAGCGGCAGACGGCACGAGCCAGGCCCCCGAGCCACCGTCCGGCGCGCGGTCCCCCACGTGCAGCGCCGGCGACAGCACGACGTCCAGAGGCGAGGGAGAGGATGACGAGGAAGGGGACGACGGCGAGGAGGGGGAGGGAGGAGGGTGAGGGAGGAGGAGGGGACAAACAAGTGGAACCCCTTCGTCGTCGGCCCCGCATTCGCCCCCCCCCCCCCCCCTTCCCCCCAATTTCAAAGTTGGGTTCGGCCTCTCCGAGGCCCTGGGGGTTCCACGCTTTTTGTCCTCTCACGCCTGTGCTGCCAAATGCTTGAGGCCAACTTTGAAATTGGGGGGAGGGGGGGGGGTGTCAAAGGGTTCCACTTTTTTGTCCATCTACGGGAGAAGGGCACGAACGAACTAAACACCTCAGCGGACCGCTGTCGAGGCCCAGCTGAGACCAAATGGACGAGGCCATGGCCTCCTGGATCCGGCACGTGCGCTGGAACTGCCAAAGGAGTGAAGAGATTTGGCGGAGGAGGGAGAAATCCCGCTTACACGAGGAATTGAACTGACATAATTAAGCATCAACTGTTGCAGCTCTACGAGCATTTCTTGGATCGGCGCCGCCCCTGCCGCGCGGAGCGCGCCAGGGGCGGCGCCGCCAGGGGGGTCCAGCACACAGCCAGGAAACCTGCGCGGAGCTCCGGAAATTTATGCTTACGTGTTTGGTTGGTCTATTTTTCAAGTTGTGGATGCTGGCGAGGGGGCGAGTGAGCGAGCGAGGCGCCGATGCAGGCTCATGCGGCGAAGCGCGTGTGCCGGGCCCGTTTGGGCAAGGCGCGTGAGGCCGCAGCCCTTAAAATCCTGCAGAGCTGTGACATCGGACATCGCCCTGCAACATACACCGCGCGGGTGCCGCAGGGTGGGGCCGATACGCCCAAGAAATGTCAGCAAAAGCCTGACGAGGGGGCGAAGCGGGCTGGCGGAATAAAATAAGCTCAAACCCCTCTGGTTTGAGAGCCGCAGACCCTGACCCAGACCGAAAGGAAACTTAGCCTCTGATGGCCGCAGCTGGCCGCCTTCGCGGGCGGGTGCGTGCAAAGCGACGGCGCTGCAGCGCTGCAGCGCAGAGAGCGACAGGAGGAGGAGGAGGAGGAGGAGGAGGAGAAGGAGGAGGAGGAGGAGGAGGAGGAGGAGTGGGGAAGGGAGGAAGGGAGGAAGGGAGGGAGAGGGGGAGAGAAAGGGGGGAGGGAGGGATGGGGGGGGAGGGGAGGGGCAGCGAACGAGAAGGGCGGGGGCGCCTGCCGGAGCGTGGCCTGCGCACCAGAGCGGTCGCCGTGCATCGTCATGCCTCGCGGCGCGGAGGAGGCGGAGGTCGGTCGGCTGGTCTTACCAGCCTCGAACGTATCCCTACCCCTAAGATTGACACGCCAAAGGGCGATGACAATCTTAGGGATTCGCCCTCAAAAAATAAGGGAATCCCTAAGATTGGCATCGTGATGAGGAGGTGCCCAGCATAGGGATAGGGATATGTTCCAGGCTGGTAATGGTCGGCACCCGAACGTCAACGACGGGCTCGCGTCGATGTCGCCGCGACACCCGAAGCCTCCCCATGCCAAGCGGGCCGATCGTCCGCAGCAGTGGAGGCATGCAGCGTGCGCACCGGCATGGCAGCAACTGGCTCTGAGCGCGTGGGGGACCCGGGTCCCAGAGGGCGTCCGCGCCCGCGCGCCCGCCTTGAGCGCCAAGCCGCTGGAAGGGAGCGGCAATACGACCCGACGTCTCGACCTCATGGCCCTGGAACTCCCCCGAAGACCCCCGAGGCGCCCCCAAGAGGCCCCCAGGGGGCCTCCAAAGAGGCCCTCCAAAGGCTCCCGACAGGCCCCCAAGAGGCCCCAAAAAGACAATCAGGTGCTTCCCGAAAGCTTCATAGTTCCCTGAGAGTTTGACCCTCGCGGGCGCGAAAAAAGCCCCCAGCCATTCCAGATCCAACATAGCCTACCGAATGCCCTGGACGTCTCACCTCCGCTGGGAGTCGGCGGAGCGCGTAAGCAACTTCCATGAGCCAGGGATCTCTGAGAAGGCACCGCAGCCGTTCCAGAGCGCTCTGGAACGCTCCGAGAGCAGTCTGGGAGGCTCAGGAAAGATCTATCCAAGGGCTCCCAACTTCGCGCTCCGCGCCGCGCGAAGCGCGAAGTGCGAGTAACGTCGCGCTCTCGCGCCGCCTCCCAGAGGAGAAGAGGAGGATGAGGAGGAATCGGAGCCGCACCTCGAAGCGCGAAGCACGAATAACTTCGCGCTCTCGAGGGTGCCCTGGTCTATCCTGGTCCTGGCCCCGTGCGATCGGTCCTGGACCTCCAGTGGCTCAGTCTGCGGAGCTCTGCCGGGCGGGGTGGGGGCCACCCGGGCCCCCCCCCAGCCCGAAGACTGGGCTGCTCTGCAGCCCACGCTCCGCACACGTCGCGAGCCTGCAGATCCATTTCCCCCACCCGCACAACCAAGAGGAGCAGGAAATTAACGGGCGAAGAACGGTAGAAAATAAACTTTTTCGCAGTCTGGGGCGCCTATCCCTGGGCGGCTGGAAAGTTTATACCGTTCTTCGCTCGCTGAGGAAAGGGGCCCCAAGTCCCAACAAGCTCTCGATGTCACTACGGGGGTCATCCCTGTGAGAGACCAGCCCATCTGGCCTGCCACCCAGGCAGGAGCAACTCGACAAGGAACCGAGACCTCCAGAATCGCTACCAGATACTACGACCCACAACGCCAAGATCTGGCATCATAGAGCTGATGAGATGTCAATCGATGCCCCGCCTTGGAAAGTAGCCGCACTCCACCACGGTAGCTCGTACCAAAGCCAAGATAAAAGGCCATGAAGAGAAAGAAATGCCAAACGACATCGCCGCTTTTGAAAAAGATCGTCATCCATCCATCCGTGTAGCTGTCGCCCCTGTTGAAGTGTCGGGCCAGCATCTCCGTAACTGTATCCAGGGAAAGTCTCACTTCCTAAAACAACACCCCCCCCACCCATGCCACATTCCACGTGTTCACAAAAGAAGGGTTCGCGCCTTACGGCCTGAGGCGGCCACATGAGCGACACGCTGGCTGCCACGACGTATCACAACAGACGCTGCGACACCTCCAAAGTCAGCCCAGAACCGTGGGGCCAGCGGCACTTGGCGCCCGCCGATCAACATCCGGGCAGAACCTCTCCCCGCACACCTCTCAGGGTCCGTCCTGACCCGCCGCGGCCAGCGGTGGCGACGTGGGGCCCCCCGAAGGCCAAACACAAGAGGGAAGGAAGGATGAGGAGGACCACTGCAAAGCAGGCCTGGAGCAGTGGATCTGCACAGAGCCCGTCGCCCCAGAACAGGATCAACGCATCGAGCCTCCGGGAGCAGATCCGGGGACGCCCCTGATGAAGGGGCCCTGGGACACACAAATAAATGCACACAAATACAAAGATCCCCCACATTGTCCTACATTTTCTAGGTTTTTGTCTTCCCCCCCACTTCCCATATTTTCCTATGTTTTCTGGGGGGTCGACGATTAATTGTGTCTGTGTGTTTGTTTTCCCTCCTGACTCTGGGAGCAGATCCGGGGACGCCCCTGACCAGAGGCGGCCGGGTGTTGCCCGCGGCCCTCGAGAGGCTCGAGGGTCGAGGCACGCGAGGTGTGTGTGCCAGCTCCCGCAGCCGAAGCGGTCCCCCCAAAGGGCCGACGTGAGAGAAAGGATTGGGCACTCCAGAGGTGCACCGGCCATCACGAGCGGCGAACAGATCCGTATCCGCGCCCTCGTGGTCTGGATTCTGCGGCGCGATCCCGCGGATGCGCGGTCGCACGGACACGTTCCGCGCCGCGAAGAGACGCCCCGTGTCAGCGGCCTCGCGACGTATGGGGCCCAGCCCGCAAAGCCGCGGATCTGAAACAAGCCGATGTAGCACAATTCCGGCGGCTCCGATGTGGAACAACGGTGAAGACACGCAAACGAGCACTATTATTTCAGGGTTCCCATAAGGATCTCGAAGGTCGAGGGGGGAGGTTTTCGGACGCTTCTGGCCATTGTCGGGCCTCGATCGGGGGGGCTCTGGGGATCCTCTGGAGAGCTCCAGGGGTCAGGATCCAGAGCGCGAGCAGAGCTTACAAGGCAGGTTCGACCCCCCGCATGGGGGGGCCAGCGACAGAGGGACGTCCCAGCTGATCACTTCGGCAACGCCTTCTAGCTCTGGAGGCAAACTGACCGAGTCTTCCAGGCGGAGCAACGCTCGCCTGCCATCCTCCTCCTCCTCTCCTCCTCATCCTCCTCCTCCTCCTCCTCCTCCTCAACCTCCTCCTCCTCAACCTCCTCCTCCTCCTCCTCCTCCTCATCCTTCCTCCTCCTCCTCCTCCTCCTCCTCCTCCTCCTCCTCCTCCTCCTCCTCCTCCTCCTCCTCCTCCTCCTCCTCCTCCACCTCCACCTCCTCCTCCCCATTCCTCCCCCTCCTCCTCCTCCTCCTCCTCCTCCTCCTCCTGCTCCTCTCCTCCTCCTCCGCCTCCTCTCCTCTCCTCCTCCTCCGCCTCCTCCTCCTCCTCCTCCATCCTCCTCCTCCGCCTCCGCCGCCTCCGCCCCCTCCTCCGCCTCCTCCCCTACTCCTCCTCCTCCTCCTCCTCCTCCTCTCCTCCTCCTCCTCCTCCTCCTCCTCCCCTCTCCTCCTCCTCCTCCTCATCCTCCTCCTCCTCCTCCTCCTCTCCTCCACCTCTCCTCCTCCTCCTCCTCCTCCTATCCTCCATCCCTCCTCCTCTCTCCTCTCCTCCTCCTCCTCCTCCTCCTCCTTCCTCCTCCTCCTCCTCCTTCTCCTCCTCCTCCTCTCCTCCCCCTCCTCCTCTCCTCCTCCTCCTCAACCTCCTCCTCCTCCTCCTCCTCCTCCTCCTCCTCCTCCTCCTGCTCCCCCTCCTCCTCCCCCTGGGCTCGCGGCCGCACACGCGCTCGAGCATCTGCACTCCCGGGTTCTTGGTAAAGTTCTGCCCGTTCATCTGCGACGCTATGGCCTGGGCGGAAGAGGGGCCGAGTGCCAAGGGGCGCGCCAACGCCGGGATCCCGATCCTGGCCCTCCTGTCCCTCCTCCTCCTGCTCATCACGTCTCCTCCCGTTCCCTCCCCCTCCTCACCAATCTAAATCGAATCATCAGTAGCATCATCATCATCATCATCATCATCATCATCATCATCATCATCATCAGCAGCATCAGCATCATCGTCATCATCATCAGCATGCATCAGCATCAGCATTAGCATCAGCATCCGCATCAGCATCAGCATCACCATCATCTTCATCATCATCACCATCCTCATCATCATCAGCATTATCATCAGCATCATCACTATCATCAGCAGCATCATCAGCAGCATCAGCATCAGCATCAGCAGCATCATCACCACCACCATCATCATGATCATCAGCATCAGCCTCATTATCCTGGGCTCCTCCTCGTCCTCCTCCTCCTGCTCCTCCTGCTCTTCCACATCGCCATCATTAGCCTCATCATCGACATCCGCATCGCCAGTATAATCACCAGCATCAGCATCATCGACATATGTAGTCTTCATCAGCCTCATCGGCAGCAGCATCATCTTCACCATCAGCGTCATAATCATCACCACCATCACCAGCATCATCATGTTCAGCATCAGCATGAGTCTCGTCATCAGCATTACTAACATCATCATAATCATCATCAGCATCATCATCATCATCAGCATCAGCATCAGCATCATCATCATCATTCATCACCATCATCATCGGCATCATCATCATCATCATCAACAGCATCGTCATCGTCATTGTAATCGTCATCGCCATCTCCATCATCTGCATCGTTACCACCACCACCAGTCTCATCGTCACCATCATCATCGTCGATACTATTACCATCATCATCACCGTCCTCATCCTCATCCTCATTATCATCAACAGCCTCATCACCCTCAACCGCATCGTCATCATCACGTGCATCATGATCACCATCGTCGTCATCATCAATCAGTATCACCCTCCTCATCGTCGACTTCATCATCACCAGCATCATCATTACCATCAGTATCCTCATGATAATCCTCATCATCAACATCTTGGGGTTAATCGTCAGATTCGCCTTCATCAGCATCATCAGCAGCAGCATCATCGCCCGTTCCTTGGTCCTATCCCTCCCTCTGCCTCTTCCTCTCGCCTCCTTCTCCATCCGTTCGCCCCCCCCCTCCTCCTCCTCCTCCTCCTCCTCCTCCTCCTCCTCTTCCTCCTCCTCCTCCTCCTCCTCCTCCTCCTCCTCCTCCTCATCATCATCATCATCATCATCATCCTCCCCCATCCTAGCAGCTAGCACGATCCAGAGAGAGGGTTTTCGACTCGATTCACTCTGTGGCACCAGTGGCACCATGCTATCAAGTTGGGTGCCCGCAGCAGAGTGCAGAAATCTACAGCCCCGCGGGATGACAACGGAATGTGTTGGTGGTTGGTGGGCCTTGCCGCACTTCGTGCTGCCTCAAGCTGACACGCTCCATACGCATCCGGCCCTGGTGGTCACCTTGCCTAAACCAGGCCGGGTGCCGAGGCCGTGGTGGTGGTGAGGAGGAGGAGGAGGGAAGGGAAAGGGAAAGAAGTGAGGCAAGGAGGAGGAGGAGGGAAAGGAGGAGGAGGAGGAGGAGGGAAGGGAATGAGGAGAGGAGGAGGAGGAGGAGGAGGAGGAGGAGGAGGAGGAGGAGGAGGAGGAGGAGGGAGGAGAGGGAGGAGGGGATGGGAAAGGAGGGGAGGGGAGAGCAGGGGCGCGGGGCGCGCGCGAGCGCAACAGATGAGAACATGAGAGACCGAGCGACCGAGAACCAGAGGGAGAGAGTGCGGGGTGGGGATAGAAGGAAGGGAGAAAGGGGGGGCGGGAGGGAGGGGGGGGAGACAGGGGGGGCAGGAAGGCTAGGGGAGGGTGTGAGCAGAGGAAGGGCAAGGAGGGTAAGGAAGGAGGGTGGGGCAACAGACATCGAACCGTGCTGGTGAAGAGGCCCAGGGGCACACGAGCAAACAGACACAAATCCCAGGATCCACAATGCTTTTCAATCGTTTCTGGATGTTCGTCCTCCCCTCCCCTTCTAAATGTGTCCCATCTGTTCCTGGGAATCGACGTGTCTTTGTGTCTGTGTGCTTCTTTTCCTCCTGAGCTGGGCCGAGCGGCGGACGCACATTGCTGGACATGCACGCCGTTCGACTGAGGACGTGCGACCTCGCCCCCGCGCAATCATCATCCGCCAGGCGGCCCCACTCCCCGAGATGTCGCCAGCAAGTCAAGCCAGGGAGAGGGGGATGAGGATGAGGAGAAGGGAACGATGAGGGGAAGGGGGGAAGGAGAGAGAGGGGAGGTAAAGTCAAAGGGGAAGAATGAGGAGGAGGAGGAGGAGGAGGAGGAGGAGGAGGAGAAGAGGCTGATGAGGAGAAGGGAAGGAGGCACGGGGGAGGAGAAGTGGGGGGGGGGAGTGGAGGGGATGAGAAGTGGAGGGGCGGGAGAAGGGTTAGCGGGATCAGGAGAAACGAGGAGGAGGGGAAGGAGCGCGAGGAGCAGGAGGGAGGATGAGCAGGAACCCGGGGGGAAGACGGCGCCCACTGCCAGGC